ACAGTCTCTTGGGAGTTGGACATGCCTGTATAGTAAGGATAACCATAACAGCGATAACAAAAAATGCCTACCCTATCACAACAGCTAATATTCCCTCTGCCAAACAGTCAATAAGGGTGCTAATGGAAAGAGTTGAAGGCAAGATAAATATGCCACTTTTAATCAATCATAAACTACTGTGTCATCAATAAGCTTCCATTGTTGTGACATACTGCCTTTGGTTACTTAGAAGCAAATGTGATGAGGAGGCCATACCTGCATACTAATCGCCAATACTATACAAATTTAATATATGACTTGGGAGGGGTGTGTGTCTGTGTGGACTGCTGTGTAATTTAGCTGTAGCTCCATGATTTTGCTTAGGGAGTCGAGCATCTGAGACCCGCAACTTATACAAATCATCTTTTGAGTTGCTGTTGCTTTTAAAAGAGAATCTACTTATTGATGCAATTCATAAGTAAACATGTTGTGAAAATCCTTCCATTCTACAATAGTCTTCGCATTCCGAAATGACAACTGAAAAGCTGCTGGCGAGACCTGTGAACCCAGAGAGAGATCTCTCCTAAAAAATGCCAGGAGCAAAGATTATTACCAGCCAACCCAAGAGGCAGGACTAGCAGGGCTGCCTGGGGCTGGCAGAAATGTGGGGGCTCAAGGTTAAGTGGGAAATCCCCCAAGAAGGTAAGACATCTTTCCTCAGCTACTGAAGTTGTCCTAAATATCTGCCACCCAGATTAAAACTTCTGTGTCCCTCCCTACACTCAAAAATGGCATCTCTGGCAAGAACATGCCCTTGATTATAGAAGGCAAGGGAAAAGGGGCCGTCAACTTAACTTTATTCTCCCCAAACTCCTCTATTTCCCTGTTTTCTCTTTGTGGGGGAAATGAGACTCCAGTCATGTCCAGTCAGCTGCAGTCCTGGCTCATCCTGCTGCTTACCCAATTCTGACATTAAAAAATCATGACTTTAAATTTATTTCCAGCTAGAAACCCTGAATTTAATTTCCCATCCAGTGTCCGTCTTTGCTAGGGACTATTCTTCTTCCTTGTTTAAAATAGCAATATCCAACAGTATTAGCCAGATTGCAACACTGCTAGAGGCTTTAATGGATCAGTTCCTTGTGAAATTCAGCTGTGAGCAAGGAAGGGCATGCATTAACTTCGTTCAAGGACATTCGTCAGAGTCAGTGGAACTATCTCTGAGAGCTGCAATAAGGCAACTAAGCGTTAACTTGAGGACCGACCAGGGATGAAAGCCCCATTCAGCCATGAAGTTCGATGGGTGGCTTGGGGTCAGTGACTATCTCTCGGCCTAGAATTTGACACCATTGCTGAAACAGCTGCACTGGCGGCCCATCTACTACTGAACCAGGTTCAAGATCCTTGCATTAATTTGCAAAGCCTGAACAACTGAGGTCCAAGGCACCTCAGGGATCACTTGAACCCTTATTATATCCCGGCTTGATCATGGATATCATCTGTAGGAGCACCATTGCTCGTTCCCCGAGTTGGTGAGGCTCATTCAATGACAACAAGAAGAAATGAACCTTAGTGCCATCAGCCCAGTTCTGTGGAATACTCTGCCAACAAAGATTCAGCAAGCTCCTTCTGTGCCAACTTTTAAATGCCTGCAGAAGACTTTCAATTCTGCCAGGCCTATGCAGGCAATTAGGAATGCATCTTTCCACAATGGTTAACTCTTTAAACTTTTTACAGTTTTTCTTATACAGTCGTGCCTTGGTTTTCGAACAGCTTAGTTCACAAACAACTTGGAACTCTAACGTCGCAAACCCGGAAGTAGGTGTTCTGATTTGCAAACTTTGCCTTGGAAGCTGAACGTCTGGTGCAGCTTCTGATTGGCTGCAGGACACTCCTACCGCCAATCGGAAGCCACACCTTGGTTTCAGAACATTTCAGAAGTCGAACGGACTTCCGGAACGCATTTTGTTCGAAAACCAAGGTACGACTATGGGTTTTTTAATTACTGTAAACTGCTTTGATATATTTTTAATGACATAGCAGTATGTAAATATTTTTATGAATAAATATATAACCTACCTCACAGGGCTGTTGTGGGACAAAGGGGGAAGAGGGAGAACTGTGCATGACACCTTGAGCTCCTTGGAATAAAGGAGGAATATAAATATAATACTAAATATCAAATAAATGCTGTTAACGGCTTTCATCCTTGGCCCTACAGCACTGGGATGGTCCCTCCTTGGTTTATCACAGGGAATGAATTCAATTTTGCCCACAATTTTGCCCATAATTTTGCAGTGAGAAGATTCAAAGGATTAATCTACAAAAATAAAGATTCATAGTTGTATTATCGATAGGCTGGATATTGGCATCTAGCACAGTTTGCAGTTATTTCTGTGGCATATATCCTCTCTCTCTTTTTAAAGTAAGCCAGTATCTATAAGTTATACCATCTAAATAGTTCTAAACAACCTAAGAACCACACCTCAAAGTAGAACACTAGAATAGTTGAATAGACAAAAGTGCAAAAGATTTGGCCATAAATAATAATCTCTGCCTTTTGTGTTTGAAACTAGCTTGATGTTAGAAAAAGGCAGAGCGGTTCTTCCCAACACAGTATATTCTGGAAAATCTGAATTCAACCCACAGTATTTATTTCCAACAAACTATAGTAAAATGGCCAATATAGTCCACACCCAGGAAAAAAACAGGTTTCTGGTTCTTTTGATCAACTATCACATCAACAAACATGATGATTATCTGTGTGCCCACCCAACAGCTTCAATTAAATGAGGTAATGGAGTTTTCTGCACCAAAATGGAATGTTTTCTAAAACTCTGGTTTTGCATCAATTTCTTTCCTATAACTAAAACAGGATGTCAGACCAATTGCGCCATGCAGAGTAACTTGCATCATTTACTTTGCTGGTTAGAACTTCACTTCTAAAACTGTATTGCAGCCAATAAGATTCTAAGTTAAAAACAAAGACAAATAGCTTTTAACCCCCATGCATTTGCTACAAAGTTGAAAATGGCCTGTGAAAGTAATGAGACACACACTTTTACCATAAATACTGTTCTTGTATAGGATTTTTGCTAATCAATATAGCCGAAAAGTACCTTGTCGGATAATTAAGCAAAGAAAGATTGTCTGGGAGATAGGCATAGTTCTTATGTTCTGAAAATGTAGAACCGCTCTGGGAACCAAAATCTATAATCTTCTGAGAAAAATTAGAGATGCTGATTTTAACCTATAATACCTTACAAAGCTGAAGCCCTGTGTAATTTAGATTTACAATCAGTCTCCTTACCATTTGCCCATCATGGACCATTAGTACAGGCCATGAAGACTTACTTAAGGGTGCAAGGAAACATCATGTTCAAATAGGAAGAGCAGAGAGAGGGGCATTTTTGGCAGCTGCCCCAAAGCTACGGCTGCAACCTCTCTATACACTTGCCTAGCAGTAAATCCTACTGACTATGTCCATGGAGTTTCCTTGGCAGGGATACTGGAGTGGCTTGCCGGTTCCTCCTCCAGGTGGATCACGTTTGGTCAAAACTCTCCACTATGACCTGTCCATCTTGGGTGCCCTGCTCGGCATAGTTCATAGCTTCTCTGAGTTATTCAAGCCCCTTCGCCACGGCAAGGTCCGTATAGTTAAAGCTATGGTTTTCCCAGTAGTGATGTATGGAAGTGAGAGCTGGACTATAAAGAAGGCTGGTCACCGAAGAATTGATGCTTTTGAATTATGGTGCTGGAGGAGACTCTTGAGAGTCCCATGGACTGCAAGAAGATCAAACGTATCCATTCTTAAGGAAATCAGCCCTGAGTGCTCACTGGAAGGACAAATCCTGAAGCCGAGACTCCAATACTTTGGCCACCTCATGAGAAGAGAAGACTCCCTGGAAAAGATGCAGGGCACAAGGAGAAGGGGATGACAGAGGACAAGATGGCTGGACAGTGTTCTCGAAGCTACCAGCATGAGTTTGACCAAACTGCGGGAGGCAGTGGAAGACAGAAGTGCCTGGCGTGCGCTGGTCCATGGGGTCACGAAGAGTCGGACACGACTAAACGACTAAACCACAACAACAAGTCCTACTGAACTCAGCGCAGGTTACTTCTGAGTAGGCATGCACAGGTTTGCATTGAAAATCACTCAAAGCCTAAGAGCATGGTTTTGGGGGGAGGGGAGTGTGTTCTGTTTTTTTCAGTTCTGTTTGACTGTTGGTACCTGGGTGTTAACCCTGTGCAGCCCACTGTGCTGTATTGTTGAATTAGGCCGCGTGAAACCAGGGTTTTTATTTCCCACTGATCAATGAAATTTTCTGGATAATCTGGGGCCAGTAAGGTATTTCAGTGATCACTGTTCCTCCGGAGTGCTGTGAAGAGAAGAGTGGTGTGTGTGTGTTTGTGTGTTTAGAATTGTGTGTGCCAGCAGAAAGTCATGCCAGCAGTCTTCCCCAACCTTGTGTCGTCCAGATATTGCAGATTACAACTACAGCTGTGCTGCTTGGGCATTTTGGTCCAAAGCCTGTGGTGGACACCAGAATGGGGAAGAACACCTTAGAGGAAAGGTAGAAGAGAAAAGTAATAAATACCTTAGAATTTTAGAATTGGGAGGGACTACAAGGCTCATTAAGGGACGCGGGTGGCGCTGTGGGTTAAATCACAGAGCCTAGGACTTGCCGGTCAAAAGGTCGGTGGATCGAATCCCTGCAATGGGGTGAGCTCCCGTTGCTAGGTCCCTGCTCCTGCCAACCTAGCAGTTCGAAAGCACGTCAAGTAGATAAATAGGTACCGCTGCAAAGGGAAGGTAAATGCGCTGCTCTGGTTCGCCAGAAGCGGCTTAGTCATGCTGGCCACATGACCCGGAAGCTGTACGCCGGCTTCCTCGGCCAATAAAGCGAGATGAGCGCCGCAACCCCAAAGTCGGTCACAACTGGACCTAATGGTCAGCAGTCCCTTTACCTTTAGCTTTACAAGGCTCATTTAGTCCAACCCCCCACAATGCAGGAAAATTTTGCCCAACATGGGTCTTGAACTCACAACTGTGAGATTAAGAGTCTCATGCTCTACTGACTGAACTACCAAGACAGGGGTACTCATTCACATGCCAATAGCATGTTTTTCTCAAATCTGTACCCTGAACTTTGAGTCTACGGAACTATAATGACCTTAAAAAACAACAACATAGCAGTATAACAAAACCACAAAATAAAAATGGCAAATTAGTATAGACCAAAGAACCTGTGGAGACTTCTGGATGTGAATGACTCACAGTGGAGCATAGCCCTTTCTTTCATCTAAAGTCTTGGTGTACAGTTTCCAGGATGTTTAAAAACAAAAAACAAAACTGCATTACATTAAAGGGCAGGGCCCCTCTAAACATGACACACCCACACACCCCAAATGTTGCAGCAAACACAAGCCATCTCCCGCCCCGAGGGTTGCAAAGAACAGTGATTTTCACTTTGTGCTGCCTGGAGATATATATGTAAGCCTGTAATACAAGTTTGAAGATGGAGACACAGGTTTGCCTCCTCAAAACAGAGCCTTTTAAGAATAATTTCAGGGTACGTCTGAGGTTAAAATTCATTTCAAAATAAAATCTTTCCCCTAAAAAACCCCTGGAGGCATTTCATAACCACCACTAACAAGATTTCAGTCTTGAAGACATTCATGTTTGAGTGTGAGTGTGTATAGGGGAAGAGGCAGGGAGAGACATAGGGACAAGAACGACCTTCTGCCTTGGAAGAGGTTTCAGTGTACTTTTCAGGGCTGCTTCATTTCTTCCTGGATTTTCTAAGATTAACCCGACACATTTATTCTTTTTATAATACTGCCTGTCGCCTTGTATATCACTGCCAGTTTTAAGTACCAGGAAACAGAGAGCCTTCACATTTTAAAATGTAGTGACTTGAAAGGTAGTTCAGATCCAACATTTGCCAGGTGCAACAGATTTTCCTCCACAATAAATATAATAAGATTTCAGTCCAAGGAAGTACAACATGCAACTAGATGTTTCTCTGGACACAGCTCTGTCTTTCTACTGGCATAGAAAAATCCAGGTAGAGAAGTAAGAATGGAGCAAGTTTTCATTTAGCCATGACTAAAGCAGATTTAAAAACAACAATACCACAAACCCACACACTGAAAAAGATTAGTGGTATAAACTTAGGCTCCTGCTTTACAATAGTGATAAAACATTAGGAAGAAACCATGTTGAAGCTTGACAGATATAATGTTAGCTTACTGTAAGCAAAAAAAAAAAAAAAAAGCATTCCACCCAAATTTAACTATGATTTGTTGATAGAGGACACTTAAGAGAAAGCATTTTCCATGTGAAAATTAGATCTGACCTTTTCCTATTAGGCAGCTTCAAATTACATACAGTGAAAAATGTAATTAAAACAAATTTACATAAAACTGAGCCTCCCCCCCCCCGAAAAATATGCAAACTTTTTCATTAGCCCCATAGTTGATGATCGTATTAAGTATAGCTCTGGTGATCTGCTTAAAAGCTATCTCTTCCTGTTTGCTCTTTAAAAACACACAAACAACAACAACAGATAATTGCATGCAGTTTGTAATAAAACAAATCACACCGTAATGTAATTAGCATTTGAAAAAACAGCAGTGGCATGCTTGATGCCCTGGAATTAGAAGATAGGTCTTCCATTGGTTTTTAAAATGGTATACTGTAATTGAAGTCCCACAAAACATTTTCAAACTAGTACAGTGGTATCTCGGGTTACAGACACTTCAGGTTACAGACGCTTCATGTAACAGACTCAGCTAACCCAGAAATAGTACCTCGGGTTAAGAACTTTGCTTCAGGGTGAGAACAGAAATCATGCTCCGGTGGTGCGGCGGCAGCGGGAGGCCCCATTAGCTAAAGTACCTCAAGTTAAGAACAGTTTCAGGTTAAGAATGGACCTCCGGAACGAATTAAGTTCTTAACCCAAGGTACCACTGTAATTAGCTGCCCCTAGAAAGGGAACAAACACCTTCCAAGCAGGCTGCTGCACTGCAATTATGATTATGATTATTATGATTACCACCCCACCCATCTGGCTGGGTTTCCTCAGCCACTCTAGGCGGCTTGCAGCAAGCATCCTTTTGGCTATGACAGTTCATGGGGACAATGGCAGTGCCCTTCAAGAGGGAGAGGCGTACCTTGCTCGGCATTTGGGAGTTGCCCTCCCAGCATAATACTCAGGACTTGCTTGTCCTCAAAGTACAGGAATTGTAATGATCTGATACTGCACACTGCCTTATATAAATCTCTTCCATTCACACACATTTCCTAGAAAAAAATGGGGGTGGGGGGGAATGGATGGATAGATGGATTGATTAATTAATTAATTAATTAATTATACTCCACCCATCTAGTAGGGTTTCCCCAGCCACTCTGGGCAGCTCCCAACCGAATATTAAAAACACAATACAGCATCAAACATTAAAAACTTCCCTAAACAGGATTGCCTTCAGATGTCTTCTAAAAGTCAGATAGTGGTTTATTTTCTTGACATTTGACGGGAGGGTGTTCCACAGGGCGGGCGCCGCTACTGAGAAGGCCCTCTGCCTGGTTCCCTGTAACTTTGCTTCTTGCAGTGAGGGAACCAGCAGGAGACTCTCGGCGCTGGACCTCAGTGTCCGGGCAGAACGATGGGGGTGGAGACACCAACACTTTGAATTGTGCTCGGAAACCTCTTGCCTTAAATGCTTTGTTCTAAAAGAAAACATGTCATAATCCAAAACGAATTTCAAAAAATTCAGAAAACAGGGGCTTTGGGGGTAAATAAGGGTGGACTCCCCATCATTCCCCGCTCCCCTCCAAGCCTTCACATTCCTCAGAAGGAGGCAAGTGCACATTTCTGAGCCTAGTTCTCAGTTTTCAAACTGCGGCTTGCAGTCAGCCTCCATCAGACCCCAGCACTTTTTTTGTGGTTAAGATGCCACAACTCGACCTTGAAGGCTTAACTTGCACGAACTGAAATATTGGGTAAAAAGTATCCCTCTGCAGTTGCTTATTAGGCAAACCTCTGCTCCTGTCAGATAAAATATTACTAAAACATTTAAGCTATCTCTGAAGATAAAACCAAGGAGATTATTAATCACTGCAAATTAAATGGCTAGTAAGATCTGTGCTCACGAATTCTAGATGGAGAAACACGAGGGGCTTCGTTGTCAAATGAGATGTGTAGCACGTTTTGTTCTTAATTGCACATAAATTACTGTGATTATTGTATTGCTGAGGAAAAATGCATTTATCCGCTAACACCTCGGAGGAAGAAATGTGAACAAAGGAATTTATGCATTACATCCAAGAATAACGATGAACAAATGAATTTATGCATGCCATATGATGTACTGCATTTAGAGTAATGGAAGAAAAATCAAAAGGTCTACTGTAAATCTTTAATCCTGAGAAAAATCAAAATAAACTATACACTTGCCAAGTTCTTAAAATATGATATTCTAGATTTTGAATGCAAATTTCTACACCTGTATGCACATCCATGCCTTCTGACCGTGTGCAGCTACCTTATGAAGCTGAGTCAGGCCATTGGTCCACTTAGCCACTCCTACCTGGCTATGGCCATGCCGAGTCTCAGCCACAAGTCTTTTCCAGCCATCCTTCCCACTGGTAATGCTGGAAAATGAATCTGGGACCTTTCACACAGATCTGCACTAGCATTTAGCTACAGCCTAGGGTGGTGGGTGGGACGCGGGTGGCGCTGTGGGTTAAACCACAGAGCCTAGGACTTGCCAATCAGAAGGTCGGTGGTTCAAATCCCCGTGACGGGGTGAGCTCCTGTTGCTTGGTCCCTGCTCCTGCCAACCTAGCAGTTCGAAAGCACATCAAAGGTAGGTAAGGTAAACGGCGGGAAGGTAAACGGCGTTTCCGTGCGCTGCTCTGATTCACCAGAAGCAGCTTAGTCATGCTGGCCACATGACCCAGAAGCTGTACGCCGGCTCCCTCAGCCAATAAAGCGAGATGAGCGCCGCAACCCCAGAGCTGGCCACGACTGGACCTAATGGTCAGGGTTTACCTTTACCTTTAGGGTGGCAGGTGGTGCTGTGGTCTAAACCACTGAGCCTCTTGGGCTTGCCGATCAGAAGATCAGTGGTTCGAATCCCTGCGACGGGGTGAGCTCCCATTGCTCTGTCTCAGCTCCTGCCAACCTAGCTGTTCAAAAGCATACCAGTGCAAGTAGATAAACAGGTACCGCTGCAGCAGGAAGGTAAGCAGCGTTTCCGTGCGCTCTGGTTTCTGACATGGTGTCCCGTTGCGCCAGAAGCGGTTTAGTTATGTTGGCCACATGACCCAGAAAGCTGTCTGTGGACAAATGCCGACTCCCTCGGCCTGAAAGCGAGATGAGCGCTGCAACCCCATAGTCACCTTTGACTGGACTTAACTGTCCAGGGGTCCTTTTACCTTAGGGTCGCCATATTTCAAGAGGTAAAAATCCAGACACAAAAGCTGTTGAGTTTTTTGGCAGGGAAATCGCCCAAAAAGTTGTTCAGCTTTTTTGGGGGATGCTAGAAAGGGACACTAACTCCAGCGGGCGAACCTGGATATGTGACAACCGTACTATAGCCTAACTCCCAACAATCTAAGAAGGGAAACAAAATTAAAAAAAATCCTTCCAGTAGCACCTTAGAGACCAACTAAGTTTGTTATTGGTATGAGCTTTCGTGTGCATGCACACTTCTTAAGGTGTTAACCCTGTAAAACAGCTGCTAACCAGAAACAGAATAACACACAAGAATAAATCATTTGGATATCTTTGTGTGGCGAGTGTCTATAAATAATATAAATAATAAATAATAACACCATTATTATCTGTGTGTTCCATGATGCCACAATGAACAAGCCAGTCAATGTCTATTTCTTCAAGTAATACAATCTCCTCTTTGCTCCTTGCCTTCATTTCACCTCTTTGCAGTCATATGTTGTAACCAAAAAGCACAACAACCTTTAGAGTATTTCTTCAGCTGACCCAGGATCATTGTAAGCCGTACAGAGAAAAGTTATATGGAGAACAGAAGACACCTGCGGCTCTCAAACAAAGGCATATGGAAGTCAA